AAAATGCAAGTAAGTAACTTTTATTTTTTAGTCAAAATGTAGCCTAAACGTTGATCTTCTCAATGGCACAAACCTGAATTCGGTATCCGTTTTCGCTTTTGAGTGATTAGATCGACAAAGTGATTAGGTTTTCAAAACGCCCCAATTTGAGACGCGAATTTTTCCGAAAGAAGAAGGTATGAAACTGCTAGAAAATACGTCATTTCTTTAGATTTTATTCAAAAGTAATTTATTATATCAATCTTTCGATGTTCAAACTACCAGCTGGTATATTTCGAAAGCAAGATGAACGTTATTCTAAGGGTGTCAATTGTTTTGATCACCAAACGCCTTTAGATACAAATGATCACCAAAGAAAGATACTTCTGATCACCAAATTTTCCAGCATCACATTTTTATTTTTCAACAGAGTGTAATGTACATATAAACATATTAATTAAATTTTAACAAAGACAATATTTTCACACCATTTACGAAAATCGTAAACTGCGAAGATTTCAGGGCGATTCTTTCGACGTTCTGTTTGAACTAATGATGTTAATTTGGTTGATAATACTGATGTAGATGGATGATCAACTGAAACTGACGAACGAATTTGAGCTTCTGTTAAACCAATACCAACATATTTTGAAACTGATTGACGTACTGGAGATGGTAAACAAGATGACTGGCTTCGATCGTCGATTGTGAATCAATGAATGCTAAAATTAAGCAGCAATATACACTTCGAAATAAATTACATCTGTCGTCATTTCTTCCAAAGATTGAGACCATGCTGGATGATTGGTCGAAGCATTGTGACACCAATCCATTTTCTGTTTGCGCGTCCATCATACCCGATTGCGAACTAGCTGGTTATAAATGGGCTACAATGATTGATCTGTACAATGATTTTTATGTTGTATCGTCATCGAACGCCTATATAACACCGTGGGCTTGGTCAGATATTTATCGTTCTCGTCAGTGGCTCACATTTAATGATTTTTTGGTGTGGCAACAATCCTGCTGGCTAGTTGCACCATTACAATCATGTAGCTGTCCAGTTGGCATGAAACAATATTCATGTAAACATTCGGTTGGATTGGCAATTTTATTTAA